TTTTTTTGCGTTTTTTAAGATTTTTCAAATAGTTTTTTAAATTTTTTATCACAGAAAAGTAGCTTAAAAAATTGTTAGTATATACAGTCTTGTAGAGCTCGACGAGCTCTATCGAACTATGTAAAAATATCGAAGAAAAACATTTTACTCCATTTTTGAATTACTAGCACTTTCCTTTTCTACTCCCAAAAATGTATATAATTTCTGAAAGTTTCTTAAGTTCGATATTAAAAGGTTTACATAACCCTTACTATTTAACATCAATAAACCCCATTTTTCACGGGCTTTCATTTGGTATAAAATTTATCATACCTCCTATTCGGGATTATATCGTTACCCTCCTTGAATAATATTCTTTCCGACCCTGTACATCACAATTATAAGCAAAATTTCTCAAAACTACAGGAACGAATTTTCGAAAAAATACTTTCATGAGAATAATAGGAGTATCAGAAAAAAATAACGTATATTTGATTTTTTGAAAAGGAGAAAACAAATGATTACGAGGTAAATTTAATATTAAGTAAAAACTGTTAAAACAGGCTGATAAATTTATGAAGCAAGCTGGTGATTCACAAAACATCTAATGCAGGCAGTGATGTCATTAAAGTAATAATTTTTTAATAGCTGTGATCGTTTCATAAGAAACATTCAATTGACTGGGTTTCACGCATCATGTCTTGATGGATAATCATAGAGTCGTTCTCTGATTAATTTGTGAATTACGCGCGACTAGTTATATCAAGTGCTTTGAATTCAATGTTTTATTAGCCTAATGCTCTATATTATACTAGGCATCATCAAACGGTTTGTATCATCACAATTTATACTCTACTTTAAGTTTTAAGCATTATTTGCTCAGTAAGTATATAGATCAATTAAACATGTTTTATGAGTTGATTTGATTTGGTTTTTAAGAGAGAATCCAGGACAGCACCAAGGAACCGAGGCACTCGTCAAAATTTAAATTTTCGATTTTTTATGTGCACTTGAATGGGCAATGTCTGAAACTAATAACTCTAAATTTTTAGCTCATTTGGACGTTTTATAGTAAAGTTAGCCCGGACCGACTTTTAGCACCCTCTACCTAGTATAAAGAAAAATAATGATAAATCATCTCATT